TTTTTTTTGGTTGAAAATATTAATTTTGATTGAATTTATTTTTTGTTTGGTTGTAAAAATTATTTTTGATTGAAATTTTTTTTTGATTGAAGATGCTTTTTGTTTGATTGAATAATAAAAACACAAATTTACCTCCATAAATGCGTGACCATAAAAACGTCACTGTGAAGAACTTTGACTGATTGAAGTGAAAAGACATATACGGTTAAAGAAAACTGGACATATTGTATCAGACTGAATGGAATGACAGGCTTCAGAGGAGTTCCTAAAGGTGTAAAAGCTGTGGGTTGTTTAGAAAGCGTTTTTAGTTCAGCTCGTTTCAGTGTCGGCTCCTTTTATCTGCTAAGATTTGTGAGCAAAAAGCTTCAGAGCTGGAGCTTTTTTTTATTTTTTTTTTTTGACAAATACAGAGACTGGAAATCAATCACTTCACTAAAGAAAAAGGCCAAAACCAAAATACAAAGAAGAGAACACAAGTAGATGCAGAGCTGAGAGACTCTAAAGAAAATAGGTTCTTTTATGAGGTAAGATTTACGAGAGAGGAGGCTCACTGAATCCCACAGCTTTCTGTGCTTCAGCCTGCCTTTGATTTTATCACTGCAAGTTGGCACAAGGTTCACAAAACAGCTACAAAAATACAGTATAGCATAAAACACTTTGACTGGAGCAGCTCTCAGAGGAGTTTTTTATTTTAGGTTATTTAAAATCTGTTGTTGAACCTGTTCAATGAAACCAGTCTGACACAAATTTTACCAAAAGAATATTTGTTTAAATGAGTAGAATCATTAAGTTTAAAGGAATTGAAGTGTTTCAAAAGTCAATTGAAAGACACTTTGTTTGTTATTATGACTTTTTTATATGATCGCGAAAACTCACTGGTCACAGCAACATGGCGGTTAGACTTTCCCTCATCAATCACATCCATGACTTCATCAGGGCTGGAGACAAAGCGCTCGGTGCATCCCTGAGGAGAGCAGAGACAAATGAGTCAGATTTAATGTCGCTGACAGGATTCAGCCCACGGTTTGTTCAAAACGACAACAAATGAATCAACAGACCTTAACATACGGCACCCTGTTCTTATCCTCATGGACAGACAAGTTGGTCTTTGTCACTAAAACACAAACAATATAATATCAGTATCTTGTAATTATTTTTTACATTTTTTGCATCAATTTAAAATCTAATTTTCTTAATAATGTTTTAAAAAAATACAATCAAATTATTGTTTTGGTTCAATGTTTGTTCAGCACTAACCGTCCAGGAGGTCACGGATTTTGTCCATGTAGATCTCAAAGTAAGAAACCTGGAAGAGAAGAGACAAAGAGAAAACAACACATGAAAGAGAACTAATGAATTTATGTTTTCTAAACTAAATGTAGAAACAAATCAGATAAAACAACTTTTAAAAAGGAAATCAAAAAGTTCACGTCTGAATTAAGCCCATTTATGAATTATTGAAAACAAATTATGAAACAAGACTTTGACCATGTGTCAGATATTGCACCTTGATGTGGAATTCCAGGTTTTCATCCATGGCGAAGATGTGGTTGAAAATATCTTCAGCAATGCGGGGAATGATCCCCATCTGGTGAGGGTCGTGCAGCTTACCCTGAACACATTAACACAAATTAAAATTAAACAATGGTAATAATGCTTTTATTGTTACATCACATTTGTTTTAAATTAAAATACATTAGGAC